GGCAAACAGAATTAACCAGGAAGGTTTACTTTGGAGAAGAAAAAACTAGAGGACTAAGAGGATAGAAGTTGCATAGAATCAAATTTGAGCTAAAGGTAAGAAAAACTTCCTATCGATTAGAGAGATCCAAAAGTGGAATGGGCTACCTCATTCTCATTATAAGAAGTATTCAGGTCAAGCCTGAATGAATGCTTACCTGTCAACTATGCTGACAGGTGGAGATTCCTCTCCAATTGCAGGTTGAACTAGATGATTTCTGGGGACCCTTCCAATTCTGATATTCTGTGAGCCTGAATCATGAAGTATAAACTCAACTGCATCTGTATAATAGACATTTATAGTGCGCATACCAGAGAAAGTTAAATAGCCCTGAATCACAGTAAATTTCTCTCCCTATGACCATGATCCAAATCACCCTTGTTTTCGTTCCAGGATCCTGTTGAGCTATATTATCCCTCTTCTTTATCACATCTCATACATATCCTACTTCACTGGATCACTCTACTTTGCCTATAAACAAGACAAGATCACCTCAATCCTAAGAGTTTTCCCTTGGCCTTTCTACTCATCCAACTGCAATTTCATCCTTTCTCTAAATTTTTTTTTAAAAAATATTTGTTGGCTCCTTTTAATTATTCATTCTTGTTTTTTTGTTTTTTTTTTTTTTTTTGGCTAGGCAATGAGGTTAAGTAACTTGCCCAGGGTCACACAGCTAGTAAGTGTTATGTGTCTGAGGCTGAATTTGAACTCAGGTCCTGACTCCAGAGCTGGTGCTCTATGCACTGAGCCTAGCTGCCCTAATTATCAATTCATACACCTTTGTAACTACTTCCTGGTTGACTGAATATAAGCTTCAGATTCTCCAGATGCTTGACTAGTGGACTACCAAGAGCAACAAAGAAGCAAGAGGAACTATGCTCAATGAATGATTTCAATATCCTCAATGAATATCCTTCCTCAACTATGGCCAAGTAAATCTCTTTTTTGTTAACTGTCTTATCCTCTATAAATGTTCGTTTCATTCCAATATCAAACATAAGCTACCAGAGGACTGGACTGAATCAGACTTTTCCTACAACACCTTCCATCTCACCATCCATTTTTTCTCTGGATTCTCATGTCACTTCCACCCTAATCCCCAAGGTTTCATCCTCAGCCCTCTTCTCTTCCCAAACTCTATCTCTAAATAATCTCATTCACTCTCACGTCTTCAACTATCAACTCTAAGCAGCTGATTCCCAAAACTACATCTCCAACTTTGCCCTTTTCCCTGAGTTTTCAACTCATATCTCTGTCTAAAAATATTTCCATATGATGTCCCTTACCAGCATCTGAAACTCAGAATTGAACTTTTCTACTCAAGTTCATTCTTTTTTTGGATCTTATTTCCTTTGAAAAGAAAACTTTTGATTCGTCTGTTCACTTCTCTCTCACCTCCTGCTATTGATATTTTGCATTGATTCTTTCTCCCCAATCGGCTTCTCATCTATCCTCTTCTCTATTCCCACTGTCAGCACTTTATCACAAGTTCTCATTACTGCCCATTTGGACTGTTGCAATCATCTTTTAACAGCTCTTCTTGCTCAATGATGAGGACCTCCCTAGGATTTCATCTAATACTTGCTTGCATCTCTTTTGTGCCCTTTAAAAATTACCATTTTTTAATATGTTGGTCATGTCTCCCATTAGACTATATATTCCATGAGAATAAGAATAATATTGCTAAACATTGTAACTTAATAACTATCTAGTACACTGTCACTGGGGCAGCTAGGTAGCACAGTGGATAGAGTGAAGGGCCTGGAGTCACAAAGACTCATCTTCCTGAGTTCACATCTAGCCTCAGACACTTAACAGCTGTGTCACCCTGTGCAAGTCACTTAACCCTGTCTGCCTCAGTTTCCTCATCTGTAAAATGAGTTGCAGAAGGAAATGGCAAACTGCCCCATTACCTCTGCAAAGAAAACCACCAATGGGATCACATAGAGTCGGACACAACTGAAAAAACTCAACAATAACGACAACATACTGTCACTGCTTCATAAATGCTTCTGTACTGAATGGTCTAAAGAAGCAAATGAGTTTTGAGGAAATTCCAGGGAACTTTTCACCACCTCCTTTGTCCCTACTCTCTACCTTCCTTTCTTGTCCACAGACAAAGGGACCTTTGGTCTCAGGAATCTTCTGAGAGTCTGAATTCCCCTTGGGTTAAAAAATTAATACCCACATTCTTCCTAGTCATTCCTACAAGCAGCTGGGACCTAGGTCTACTCCTTTTGAGAAATGAAAGGAAAGCAATGTCTTAGGACTCTCGGGTTACCACAGAGTTTTCTATAGAAAGAACAGTTACTGAAAAAAGAATAAGAAAGTAGCCCAGAGATTGGCAGCTGTGGTACTTTACATCAAAGAGATTGTGCAGGTTGATTTTTTCAGTGACACAGAGGCCAGTCAATCCTATTAAAGGCCCTCCCTCTTTCACATTTTGAAATATAATTAGTCACCATAATAGCTCCTTTTGTGTAGGGATTTTTTCTGTCAATATATTTGTATCCCCAGTGCCTGACACCATGTTTGGCACATACTAAATAATCAGTAAATGCTTAATTGACATTACCACTAACCATCCTCAGCTGTCCCACAACCCTTTACCGCAAGAAAAAAACACTGAGAGTTTTCATACCTTGCAAATAGAAGAAAACAACCTTTGGTCACTACATGAGATAAATAAGCACTAATATGATGTAACTAAAGAGAAAATCTCTAGTAATAAAAAGGAGAGAATACCATAATGTTATAAGGACAATAACTCATCGTCAAGGTAAAGTGGTATTACAAAAGGACTAAAGATGGATAGAAGAAAACAACAATCTTTGGTCACTACATTAGATAAGTAAGCACAATTATGATGAGTAAAGAAAAAATCTCTAGGAATATAAAAGTAGTAAAGAACCATAATGACTCAAATGTCAAAGAAAAAACTGAGTAACTACTGCTTTTATGAAGTATGGGGAAAATAATCTTGCATATAAGCACATTAAATAAATGCCTACTGACTTGAATCAGGTCTTTAAAATGACTTGTCCAAAACAAGTATTTTGTGCTAATTGAAATAAAGCGAATGATGACTTTAGCACTGTTGTAAGGAAAGCATTTTGCAAATTATATAAATGTTGGCTATTATTAATAATAATATTAATAATTAATACAATGTCTGCTTGTGTTTTATAGTTGAGTTAAGGAAACGGGTAGGCTGTTCTTGAGATTTGGTCGGCCTTGGAGAAGAAAACTGAGTTATTGGTTTGGGCTGGTTTCTCTTTAAGGAAACAGGGAGGCAATTCTTGAGAACTGGTTGGTCAGGGAAAAGAGAACTTGAATTACTGGTTTGGGCTTCTTGCTCCTAAGCTCCAGTCTACTGGAAATAGAAGCTGTAGAGGTTTAAGCTGAATTCCATTTGCCCTCCTAAGCAGATATCATCCTGAGCAAGTGTTGCCTGTTGCTGTGATGAATGTATTGGGGGAATACAGCACATTCCTTTGGTAGTGGTTTTACTTTAATTTACTTAGGAATTGTGTCCTTTTTAATCTTCTCACAAGTTATTTTTATTGCATTTATGGTCTACAAATTCTTCACTGCATTCTAATCTCAACCCTGAATCCCTGTACTGGCCTGAGCTATGCCTGACCCAGAAGATTTGATCTTTTCTTGTCAGGAATTTGTTGCCACGACTTTGTGATTAAATTCATTACTGAAGTAGAAAAAGGAACTGTGGAACAAAAGAATAGAAGCCTTTATAAGGACCCTGTACCCTGTGGTCACAACATTGTTAGAAAGCCTACACTGGGGAGGTGGGGTGGAATCCTCTCAAGCGGAAATGGGATAAGGAGGAAGTTCGAATTCATTCTCTGGGTTAGCTTGATCAATACTGAAGAGCTGGACACAATAAAGATTGAATAGAAGCTTTTATATAATTTTCTTGGGCTATGACTTCTTGTTCTTTCCTACTAAGCTAATTAACATATTCTCGTGTTTCCAGTTTCCTGTATCCTCACATAAGTACTGCTACTGTCTGTGAAATTTACTGACAGAACTAGATTTTCTGAAATAATTAACAAATAGACATTAAATTGAAAATGATCACGTAGCCTTTGCTAGGTACACGTAAAAATTCTGGCCTTCCCTTTCTCAAAATAGGAGTTGTTTTACCTCCCAAAATAACTGCTATCCTCATACATTAATGGTACTATATAGAATACCTAAATATAAATAAGCCTGTAAATGAAATCATCAGGTATTAAGGGTTTTAAAACATATATGAGGCATGGGACCCACTTTACATCCTTGTGCTACCTGGAGAAAAAGGCTAAACATTCAGGGACCTAATTTCACTTCATCCCCACTTCAACCATCATGTCCAATGACTGCTATGATAAACACACTATAAGAGACTCCCCCATTATAAAAGGCTACCTTCCCACTTCCTCATTCCCACTCTAACCACCATCCCAATTTATAGAAACATTCTGGTTGTATTAATTGCTTTGGAAACATTTGTCACTTATATCTCAACAAGTCATAGTACAGAGAACTTTATATACTTACAGCTTCCTTCTGTACTTTTTCAGGACTCTCAGAGATACAGAACAAATTAGAAAAGCTTTTAATCTCAATCACAACATGAGAGGATTAAATAATAAGGTCCCCAAACTACAATTTAACACTCAAATTTCTTACTGTCAATTTCCATTGACAAAAATCTAATTCCTAGCATGATGGCCATTTCAAGTTCAAAGAAAGCAGCCGCCCAAGCTGACAAGTTGTCTCTCTGATTGCCTGGGAATGGCAGCACATGCAGGTTTACTCCCTATTTAAATCAGAACAATTATTTCTCTGGAGTTTACACTTTCTCCATGAAAGAATGGACCTACATTGGGGGGAGGGGTGGTGATGAGCCTCCAGTACTCATCAGAGGGGACAGGGAGAAAGACTTTTCAAAAGGATATCTTCCCTTTCTCTGATGATAAGCTCATTCTGCTCTTCTAGCTGTCTGATCTTCTTCTCAAACGACTCCTGTTCAGCTTTTAGTCGTTCTTCTGTCACCTCCTTTTCCTCACTTACCCTGAAAAAAATTCCCCCCCAAAAAATCTGTTAGAATGAAATAAATTACATTCACACAGCTGTGACTTTCAGAAATTAGACTTATTCCAGAGGTTCTCATATGTTAAAATCTTTGGGGATACACTTACATTCAATATAATCACACTCTTTTTTTCCAACTTAGACTTTCATATAGCAATTTCTCCTCCTTTTTAATAAAATACACATGTGATTTTATGTGAATAATGATTTCCATCATCAGAAGTGCCTCAAAATTATGAAGTCCTACATGGTAGGACATAGGTCTCCAATTACCAACCAGGAAAGAAATAAATTCCCATTTAAAAAGCATATGTCCCATTTTGCCAGACTATAAGAGGAAAGTGTAATCAATTTATTTCTGATTTAGATTTTTTTCCCACACTTTTATTTAAATTCTGGCTATGAAATAAACAACATATTCATTTCTGAAATGTTTGAACCCAATATATGTGTAATTTTACTTTTTCTTCCTTGGCACTGACATCCTGCATTTCTCTGCAGCATATAAATAATTGAGCTGCAATTAAAAGATGACATTAATATAAGGAAAGATTGGCAATGAATTTATTTCCAATCCAAGAAGGATTATAAAGGCTACAAAGTAATTTTTCATTGTTAGTATATATCCCGAAAACTTCTTTTTATTCAATTCCAACAAAAAGGGGCAGCTTAAGCACTAAGATGTAGGAAACAGATGGATATAATAACTTAAAAAAAAAAAAGACTAATCTCTGTAAGTACAAAAAAGGAAATGTTGAGACTGTCCTAATAGGTAATGTGTTGTGTTTAATATTGACCTACTTTTCATTACATGAATAACAACAGTGATGTGATACTTTGACAAAAGAACAGTCTTGAGTTCTATTTATTAGTAACTACTACTACATATGAATAGCAATTTCATTATATAATTAAATAGATCTCATTATATAATTAAAATACATAGTAAAAACAAATTAAATCTGCAGAAAATCTATGTTCTCTATATAATGTCCTCCATATTCCGATCCTTTGCTCCCTAGTCTTATTTCCATTGAAATCTCTTTGTCCCTTTTCAAACCTCAACTCAGGATTAACCTCTACCATACATACACATTCTCTGTTCTCATTGTGCTGATCCATGGGAAGTCAAACACAATTGCTAATTAGATCCACTACGTATTTATGTTGTCTCAGTTTCTTTAATTGCAAAAATAATAGAATTGCACTAGATGTCTTCAAAGGTCCCTTCTAGCTCTAAATCTAATTTGATCTAATCTCAACTAAGCCCTCACTTGTTTAGATGTTTCTTTCAGTTGGTCCTACTCTTCTTGACTGCTTTATTTTTTTTTAACTTTTTAAGACTTTTTTTTACTTTTTTACTTTTTTTTCCTCCTAAGTGGCACCTATTTAATTCCCTATAGCTATTGTCCTATACATTTTCTCTCGAGTCACCCATACCATCCCCTTCCTATTCCCTCATTGCAAAGAACTTTGACATATTTTATTAAGAAAACAGAAACCATTTGTCATGAGTTCCTCTCCTATTCCCTATTAGACATCTCAAAATCCTTTGAGTTCATCCTGCAATCTCTCCTCCTTTACTCCAGGTTCCTATAAAAAGGGCAACTCTCCTCCTAAGGCCACATTTTCCCTTTATCCCAGCCTCTCCTATATCTTGCCCATCCAATCACCCCTTTCACTCTCTAACTTTCAATCCCATAGTATCTATTGGTTCTTTACTTGCGGCCCACAAACATGCCCATATCTCCCACATCTTTAAAAATCTTTTCACTAAAGCAGGAAATTGGGGGGAAATTTTTTACAGCAAGTTTCTCTGATAAAAACCTCATTTCTCAAATATATAGGTAACTGAGTTAAATTTATAAAAATAAAAGCCATTCCCCAATTGATACATGGTCAAAAAATATAAACAGGCAGTTTTCTGAAGAAGAAATCAAAGCTATCTATAGTCATGAAAAAATGCACTATTGTTTAGAGAAATGCAAATTAAAACAACTCTGAGATACCACCTTATACCTATCAGATTGGCTAACGTGACAAAAAAGGAAAATGACAAATGTTGGAAAGGATGTGAAAAAATAGGTACATGATTGCACTGTTGGGGGTTATTGTGACCTGGTCCAACCATTATGGAGAACAATTTGGAACTATACTCAAAGGGATATAAAACTATATGTACCCTTTGACCCAGCAATACCATTACTAGGTCTGTATCCTAAAGCGATCAAAGAAAAAGTACCTCTGTATGTATCTCTGTGTGTGTATATACACATATGCATCTGTGTGTGTATTGACGCTTTTTGTGGTGGCAAAAAAATGGAAATGGGGACGCCCATCAATTTGAGAATGGCTGAACAAGCTGTGGTATATGATTGTTAGGCAGTACTACTGTGCAATAAGAAATGAAAAGCAAGATGATTTCAGAAAAACCTGGGAAGTCTAATAGGAACAGATGCAAAGTAAAGTGAGCAGAACCAGGAGATCATCATACACAGTAAGAGCAATATTTTAATAATGATCAACTGTGAAAGACTTAGCTACTCTGATCAATACAATGATCCAATTCCAAAAGACTCATAACGAAAAATGCTACCCAAGTCCAGAGAGAGAACTGATGAAATCTGAGTACAAATTTAAGCATAATATTTTCACTTTATTTTTCTTGTTTTTGTTTTTTTGCAAGATGGTTAATATGGAAATATGATTTGTATGATATTACATGTTTAATTGACATCATATTGCTTGCTTTCTTAATAGGTGGTGGAGAGGTGGGAGGGAGGGAAAGCACTTGGAACACACAAAAAAAATTTTAAATGAAAGCTTAAAAATAAAAGGGATAAATAATGTTTTTTAAAGTCTTTTACTGGACCCTACTGCTCCCTCACACTATCAGCCTATATCTCTTTTCTCTCTTTCAGCTAAAGTCCCTTAAAAAACAAAAACTTGTTTGCATTCTTTGCCTCTACTTCTAATCTCACTCAATTCTCAACTCCTTTTATACTTTACAACTAAATAAAACTGCTCTTTTCAAGGGAACCAGTTAGCTCTTAATTGTCTTTTTTCAATTTTCATCCTACTTGAACTCTCTAGTAGCTAAAACTGTTTACCACCTTCTCTTCCTTGATATTCTCCCCTCTCCTCCCCGAGTTTTCCTGACTCTATTCTCTCTTGGTTCTCCCCCTGCCTATCAACTTATTTCTTCTCAGTCTCCTTGCTAGATAAATTATCCATATTCCATTCTCTATAGGTATACCACACATGTGTGTCCTGGCCCCCTCTCCTCTTCCCTTCCTACACTCTAAGGGAGCTCATCAGCTCCCATGAGTTCAACTATGATCTCTATGTAGATGACTCAGATTTGTATGTATTCAGACCTGCTCTTTGCCTCTGAGTTCTAGCCTGCATCACCAACTGCCTACTGGATATTTTCAAAGTCACCTTAAACTCAACACATAAAACTTACTATCTTCCCTCAAAATAACCTCCTCTCTTCCTAATTTACTATATCTGCTGAGGGCACCACCATCCTTACCCATAACCTCCTTCTTCCCACTTGAGCCACATAATAATCTGTCTTCAAAAATCAGTGACTTCATTCCCCAACTGATAAATGGTCAAAGGGTATGACAGACAGTTTTCAGATGAAGAAATTAAAGCTATCTATAGTCATATGAAAAAATGCTCTAAATCACTATGGATTAAATAAATGCAAATCAAAATAACTCTGAGGTACCACATCACACCTATCAGATTGACTAACATGACAAAACAGGAAAATTATATACTGAGAAGATGTTGGAAAATTGGAACACTAATACATTGTTGCTGGAGTTGTGAACTGATCTAACCATTCTGGAAAACAATTTGGAACTATGCCCAAAGGGCTATAAAAATGTGCATAGCCTTTGACCCAGCAATACCACTTCTAGGGCTGTATCCCAAAGAGATCATAAAAATGGGAAAAGGACCCACATGTACAAAAATATTTATAGTAGCTCTTTTTGTGGTGGCAAAGAATTGAACATTGAGGGGATGCTCATCAGCTGGGGAATGGCTGAACAAGCTGTGGTATATGAATGTAATGGAATACTATTGTGCTATAAGAAATGATGGGGGGCTAGGTGGCGCAGTGGATAGAGCACCGGCCCTGAAGTCAAGAGGACCTGAGTTCAAATCTGGCCTCAGACCAAACACTTGACACTTACTAGCTGTGTGACCCTGGGCAAGTCACTTAACCCCAATTGCCTAAAAAAAAAAAAAAAGGAAAAAAGAAATGATGAGCAGGTGGATTTCAGAAAAACCTGGAAAGATTTATATGAACTGATGCTGAATGAAGTGAGCAAAACCAGAAGAACATTGTATATGTTAACAGCCACATTGTGCAATTACTAACTTTGATAGGCTCATCTCTTAGCAATGTAAGGATCCAAGACAACATCAAAGAACTCATGATTGAAAATGCTGTCCACATCCAGAAAAATAACTTTGGAGTCTGAATGCAGATCAAAGCTTATTACTGGCTCTTTTTTTTTCTTTTTTTTCTTTTTGTTGTTTTTTCTTTCTTATGGTTTCTCCCATTGGTTCTAATTCTTCTTTACAACATGACTAATGTGAAAATAGGTTCAATACAAATGTATATGTAGAGCCTATATCAAATTGCATGCTGCCTTGGGGTGGGGGGAGGGGAGAGAGAGGGAGAAAATTTAGAACTCAAATCTTATGGAAGTGAATGCTGAAAGCTAAAATAAATAAATTTTTAAAAAATCAATGAATACTTTTTCTGTCAACCTGATTAACTTTTCAACCTCTGCTAGTAGAAGCAGGATTTGAAACCAGATCTTTCTCAATCCACATCCAGCCCTCTACTCACTAAGCGTGATCTAATAAATACATAACTCAAAAGAAGATACTTCCTTCCTCAAAGTTTTTTTGTTCTTCTTCTTCATCTTTTGGGTTTATAACTCAGCTTCTGGTACA